CTTCATCCAAGTCGCTAATAAAGCAGTTGAACAGTGCAGGCCCAAGGATCAAGTCCTGGGGGACTCCACTCCCCAAGTCCTTCCAGGTTGAATATCGCTCATCCACCACCACTCTCTGGGTGCAGCCCCTCAGCCAATTTGTGACCCATCTGACTGTGTAGGCATCAATGCCACACTTGCCTAGGGTTTTAATAAGAATGGGTGAGAGACCATGTCAAAGGCCTTTCTGAAGTCCAGAAAGACTACATCCATCAGTGTCCAATGATTTTGTGATCTGATCATAGAAGGAATAATTTGACTCTGGTGGGACTTGAACCCACAACCTTTGAATGACACTTTAACTATAGAAGTCCAATGTGCTGTCCATTGCACCACAGAGTCACATATCTAGCTGCTACAATAATACTGGTCTCCTCCCCCTAAGTAAAGGGATAGATCCGGAACATCTGTGAGTAGGGACAAATATTCCCATTGACTTAATGAGACTACTTGAGGCAGAAGATCATAAAACAGAGAAGCAGGGCTGGAAGACCTCCATAGGGTATCAAGTTCAACTCCCTGCCTGATGTAAGATCATCCCTATCCAAACCAGTTCATACAAATCCATTGTCAAACCTCTTAGCAAAACTACACAGTCAACCCAGACAATACACCATCTAACCTGCCCCAGGTAAAGCATAGGGACCACAGTGGTCAATACTTTCCTGCTGTAAAAGTTGTTAATATACACTCAAAAATTTCCAGGACGAGGGCAGCACCCCTCGCTGTAGAGGCAGGTAAAAATCCTCAAAATCCCCAGCCTTAGCTGCAGCTAACACTCAATGCCTGCATGCAAGGCTTTAAAAAAACAACCTCTGACACATGTAGGAAGGGGGAATGGTGAGGTGGAAATTCTCTCCTGAAGCTAATGCAAATTTTAACTTGGGTTTAAACAAGAGCAAGATCAAGTCCTAACAGACGATTTACATTTATATTGGCTAATAATTAACTAGCCCTATTATCTAATAAAGATCACTAATCAAAATAAATAAAGTCTGCAAACAAAGGTTATAAACAGGGACAGAAGAAAAATTATTTAGCATCAGATGCTATAGGATTTATTTGTTTGTAGTCCTGTTACTGATTCTCAATTCCCTTTTAAACACAAAATGATAAATAATTAGCCAACCCATGGAAAGGGAAATAACCTAAGGTTCATTGTATTTTTTTGCACTTGGATGCCATTAGCTGGTTTGGCACTTTCTGATCTGAAACGCTGCTTTCAAGAAGTAAAACCAAGAGTACATAGATATTAAAGACCATAGGCAATGATAATTGCCACTGGGTTAATATGGAATGAGAGGGAGCACACTTGGCATGAACTTGAATTAGCAATGGATGAATGCACCCAAGGAAAGTGAAGAGTGAACTGAATAAACCACAACAGTGTATCAATATTTTGGGATGCTGCCCACCACTAAATCTGTCCAGCACCCTCTCTTCCTACTCCAGCACTTCTCCACTATGCTACCAGGGCAAACATTTTTTTGTGACTAAGATGTCAAAGTGGCACTTAATCATCTAAATCGCAAAACAAAATCCTACTTCACCCAATGTAATAGTCTGAAACCTTTATTTTTAGTACACCTTTGCTTTTGGCACTGCACAACTAATTTAGCCTACTGCTTATAGTCAGGAGGAATGCAGTACTATCCCAGAAGCATCTAACTAACCTCTACACTTTGTAGAGGTGCAGGATTCTGCATAGGACCCTTGAAACGGTGCCTTGTTGTTAAAGCACCTTCTGAGGACTGTGAAAAATGAGGCTGTAGGGCCATCTTGTTCAGTGGAATTTGAATTTTAACTTCCCACATTTCCGGGTAGTGTCTTTACCACTTCCAGTGATCACTGGGTCCAATAAAACTAGGCATACCCAAGTGAAAAGCATAAAAACAAACTTTTCTCAAGGGGCAGTAAGCAACCTCTGCAGACCTTTAGCCTTTGTCTCACTAACTAACTGCTACTTAACTCGGGGACCATTTCTCATTTCCCAACTTCCTCAGTCTTCTGTTAGCAAGCATCTCTAAATTACAACTTCTATCACACCACTAGGCCACCAAGGACTTGAAAGCATTTTACACCAGATCACCCCTGAGCCTGCGCTTTTCCAGGCTAAA